CTGTCCCTCAGCTCTTCAGCTCAAGGCGAGCGCTCTACCACTTGAGCTATAGCGCCACTTCCGGTTTTCTGGTGGTTTATTGGAGATAGGAGTCTCATGGTCTCTCCTGCCCAGGCTGGCTTTGAACCGTGATCCTCAGATCTCAGCCTCCTGAGTAGCTAGGATTACAGGCGTGAGCCACCAGCGCCCGGCTGTCTTTGACTTTTTTGCTCAAACCTAGAGCCCGGCTGTCTTTGACTTTTTTGCTCAAACCTAGCACTTTGCCACTTGAATTACCACTCCATTTCTGGCATTTTGATGGTTGGTTGTACGTATGAGTCTCGTGGACTTTCTTGCCTGACCTGGCTTCTAATTTCGATCCTGAGATCTCAGCCCTCTGAGTAGCATGAGGCATGAGTCATCATAGCACAGCTGATAACCCTATATTAAGCAAATTTCATTTTGTTTATTTTTTAATTTTATTTAATTTTATTTTTTGTGAACATACTGTACAGAGGGGTTACAATTACATGGGCAGGATAATGCGTACATTTTTTTTATCAAGCATTGCAGCCTCCTCCTTTGTTTACCCTTCACATCCCTTCCCAGCCTCCCCCCCATCCCCCAGCAAATTTCATTTTAAAGATGGGAAAAGAGGTTCAGAAAGTGGCACACTTGTCTACTCTTTGTAAGGTCCTAGGATCAATCCCACTATACAAGAGGAGGGAAAACTATAAGCAGTGGTGATTCAGGAGGCTCAGATCTGAGGACCATGGTTCCCATGAAGTTTTTTCTATTTTATTTATTAAGTAGTTGTACAAAGGCTTTAAAATTTCATAATCCATGTCGTATATTTAGCTTTATTTTAACTGACTTGGATAATGTTGTAACAATTACTGAATCATAGTTTTGTTATCTTTTTTTTTGGTCGATTGTGGGGCCTGAACTCTGGGCCTGGGCGCTGTCCCTAAGCTCTTCAGCTCAAGTCTAGTGCTCTACCACTTGAGCCGTAGCACCACTTCTGACCTTTTCTGCTTATGTGGTGTTGAGGAATTGAATCCAGGGCCTCATGCATGCAAGGCAAGCACTCTACCACTGAGCCACCTTCCCAGCCCCTTCTTTTAAATTTTTAAAAAATTGTTATAAAGGTGATATACAGAGGGGTTACAGTTACATGTCAGGTGATAAGTGTTTTGTTATCTTTGATGTTAATGTTGTTGTTAATGGACATTTTAAAAAGTAAAACTAGATCAGTGAAAACTACTTTGAACTGCAGAAATTTTCTATTAGCCCTGTTTAGCATAGTTTCTGTTAGTCATGAGAACTGGGTTACATTATAGTTTGCATTAGAGTTACTACAATCTGGGTTATATATAGTGACTTAAACAGTTTATTTGACATTGGAGAAATTTAGGCATATATATTGTCATATAATTGTTCCAAGTTCATTCTGTCCTCTGTTATTATAGACTTTAACCTTGAAATATTATTTGTATAAGATTAAATAAGATTCAATTGGTATTTTTTTAATAAAGAACACTACAAATAGAAATTTTTCTTTTTTGTGCTGGTCCTGAGACTTGAATCTCAGGGCTTGGGAGCTGTCCCTGAGCTTTTTTTTTTTTTTTGCTTAGGGTTACCATTGTTGTTTTACCATTTGAACCACAGCACCACTTCTGGCTTATTCTAAGTAGTTTATTAGAGGTAAGAGTCTGTTGGACTTTCTGTCTTGGATGGCTTTGGGCCAAGATCTTTAGATCTCAGCCTCCTGAGTAGCTAGGATTATGGTTATGAGCCCACCAGTGCCAAGCTAGAATTTTTTTAAAGCTGGAGGAATGCTCTTTGTACCATTTTACCTTTTTAAAAACATTTTTATTAGCATACAGTAGTTGTACAGGGTGGAGTTTATTGGTATTTATATATGTATATAGTATATCCTATCAATTCACACTCACAAAAACTCTCCTTAGTCCTCTTTTCCCTTTTTTTTTTTTGTTTTTTTGGTCAGTTGTGGGGCTTGAACTCTAGGTGTGGGTGCTATCCCTCAGCTCTTCAGCTCAAGACGAGTGCACTACTGCTTGAGCCACAGCACCACTTCCCGTTTTCTAGTGGTTTATTGGAGATAGGAGTCTCACAGAAGCCGGGTGCTGGTGGCTTACCCTATAATCCTAGCTACTCAAGAGGCTGAGATCTAAGGATTTGCGGTTCAAAGCCAGCCTGGGCAGGAAAGACCGTGAGACTTCTATCTCCAATAAACCACCAGAAAACCGGAAGTGGTGCTGTAGCTCAAGTGGTAGAGCACTCGCCTTGAGCTGAAGAGCTGAGGTACAGTGCCCAGGCCCAGAGTTCAAGCCCCACGACCAACAAAAAATAAGTCTCATGACTTTTCCTGCCAGGGCTGGCTTTGAACCATTTGAACCATGATCCTCAGATCTCAGTCTCCTGAGTAGCTAGGATTACAGGCATCAGCCCCCAGCCCCAGCCCCTTTTCCCTTCTTAAAACAAATCCAATTGGTTTCACTGTCCTATTTTTTTCTTTTTGGTTGGTTTTGAGACTTGAACCCTGAGTCTGGGTGCAGTCCCTCAGCTCTTCAGCTCAAGGCTAGTGCTCTACTACTTGGGTCACAGTGCCACTTCGGGTTTATTTCTGGTGGTTAATTGAACATAAGAGTCTCTCAGACTTTCCTTCCTGTGCTGCCGAGATTCTCAGATCTTAGCCTCCTGACTAGCTAGGATTATAGGCTTGAGCCACCGGCGCCCAGCTAACTGTCCTGTTTTCATAAATGCATGTAAAGTGCTTTGACTATATTTTTATAAAAGATAATTTCCCTTTCAAGAAATAAATTTTAGTCCTAACTAAATTCTGTAGGAATCTTTTCAAAAAGGAAGAGTGTCCTGTTGTCAGAAGATATAGGGGCTATATTCACTCTCCTAACTTATGAATGGGTCTAGAAGTTAGTGAGAACTTCATATTGTTATGGAAAACAGGAATTAGAAGTACTCTCTTCTCTCCCTTTCTTTTTCTTTTTTGGTGGGGGGGTCCGGTTGTGGGGCCTGAACTCTGGGCCTGGGTGCTGTCCCTCAGCTCTTCAGCTCAAGGCTAGCACTCTACCACTTGAGCCACAGCACCACTTCCGGGTTTTTTCTTTTTATGTGGTGATGAGGAATTGAACCCAGGGCCTCAGGCATGCAAGGCAAGTGCTCTACCACTGAGCCATCTTCCCAGCCCTCTCTTCTCTCCCTTGCTATTCTCCCTAGTCCCTCTAGTACTGGAGATGGGATGCAGGGCCTGGTCCATGCTAGCAAGTGCTCTGTCACTGAACACATCTCCAGCCCTCTTTAAAGTTCTATTACGGGTAAACTGGGAGCTCTTGGTAACTTTTCCTTCTCTTTAATTAAATTATCCTATCATGCAATTGTTTTTAATTTGACGTTGCTCTTTGCTATGCATTTTCTTGCATATAAAATTTGTATTTTTCTTTTTTTGGACATTTTCAATGGATCTCTTCATTCAGTCTTTAATACTATTAAATAATAGCTCCAGGTGCCAGTTGACTTAGGCCTGTAATCCTAGCTACTAAGGAGACTGACATCTGAGGTTCACTGTTTAAAGCCAGCCTAGGCAGGCAAGTCCATGAGACTCTTATCTCTAATTAACCACCAGAAAACTGGAAGTGGCACTGTCACCCAAGTGGTAGAGCTTTCGCCTTGAGCTAAAGAGCTAGGGACAGTACCCAGGCCAGGAGTTCAAGCCCCACAACTGACATAATAGTAGTAGTAGTAGTGTAGTAGTAGTAGTAATAATAATAATAATATAGAGCTGAGCATCCGTGGCACACTGTAATCCTAACTACTCAGGAGGTTGAGATATGGGGATCTTGTTTTAAAGCCATTCCTGGCAGGAATCTCTTTTTTCTTTTTGTCATTCATGGGGCTTGAACTCTGGGCCTGAGCGCCGTCCCTCAGCTCTTCAGCTCAAGGCGAGTGCCCTACCACTTGAGCTATAGCGCCACTTCTGGTTTCCTAGTGGTTTATTGGAAATATGAGTTTCACGGATTTTCCTGCCCGGGTGGCTTTGAACCGCGACCCTCAGATCTCAGCCTTCTGAGCAGCTAGGATTACAGGTGTGAGCCATCAGCCCCAGCTTCCATGAATCTCTTACTTCCAACTAACTACCAAATAGCCACAATTGAAGCTCTGGCTCAAGTAATAGAGCTCTAGCTTGAGCAAAAATGCTCAGGAAAGCTGGGTGCTGGCCTATAATCCTAGCTACTCAGGATGCTGAGCTCTGAGGATCTCAGTTCAAAGCCAGCCTGGGCAGGAAAGTTTATGATACTCTTATCTCCAGTTATCCATTAGAAAATCAGAAGTGGAGATGTGGCTCAAGGTGGCAAAAAAAAAAAAAAAAAAGCTCAGGTACAGTGCGTAGGCCCTGAGTTCAAGTCCAATGATTGACAAAAAATAGCTTAAGGGTCAGTTCCTTGAACTCAGTTCCTGAGTTCAAGCCCCAGGATTCACACAAAAAATAGGAACAGAGAAATATATTAATTGGTGATACGTATTGAAGATTCAAATTCAGCTTTTTAACATTTTTTTGTTTTCTCCTTCAAAAAATAATTTAGTCATTGAAAGAAAATCTTGCCAGTTGTTGGACCATTACTCAAGCCGGAAAGATTTCCTTTGAAACTCAGAAAAATAACCTTGCTACAGAAAATCAGTATCTAAGATTAACTCTGGAGAAGGACGAAAAAGCCATATCTCTATTACAGGAAGAGTTAAGGAATCTAAGGGAACAGATAAGAATATTGGAAGATAAAGGGACCAATCTTGAATTACATTCAGAAAATCAGAAACTTAAGCAGTATTTGGAACAGGAAAAACAGAAAACACACACCTTCCTTAGTCAGAGGGACACTCTGTCAGCAGAAGCAAGGATGCTAAGGACCGAGCTGGAGAGAGAACGGCTGGCAGCATTGGCTTTGAGGCTGGAACTCCAGCAGTTAAACACGCAGCCCCAGGACAACTCCGAATCTGCCAGTGCACTGGATGAAAAAAAGGAAATTGTGCTTTTACAGCAGAGGCTCACTGAGATGGAGCAGAAGTTAATCTTTGAGCAGCAACGCTCTGATCTGTGGGAACGACTGTATGTGGAGGCAAAAGATCAAAATGGGAAAGAAGAAACAGATGTTAAAAAGAAAGGGAGCAGAGGAAGCCACAGGGCTAAGAGCAAATCAAAGGAAACACTCCTAGGAACAGTTAAGGAGACATTTGATGCCATGAAAAATTCTACCAAGGAGTTTGTAAGGCATCATAAAGAAAAAATTAAGCAGGCTAAGGAAGCTGTAAAGGAAAATCTGAAAAAGTTCTCAGATTCAGTTAAATCAACTTTCCGACATTTTAAAGATACTACGAAGAATATCTTTGATGAAAAGGGCAATAAAAGATTCGGCACGCCAAAGGAAACAGCAGCTGAGAAACCAAGAACAATTTTTAGTGACTATTTGTACCCACCATTTAGGTCATCTAGACCAAACCAGGACTGCAGAGGGCCCACTGTGCAACAGGACAGAAGGAAAGAGAAGAAGCCAGTACACTTTGAAGAATACGGAAGAAATGCAGATCCACCGAAGGACAGTTCTGAGCACAACTGTAGGGAAAAGCATCCCTCTTTCAGAAAAACGTGTTCTAATATATTTGAATGCGCTCGACTGGAATCCAAGATAAGTCCCTTTAATATAGTGAATCCTGTAAGGATAGAAGAATTTAGACAAATAATGGAAAGGTACTTGTTAAAAGAACTGAGAGCTTTTCATCACTGGAAAGAACTTGATCAGTTCATCAGTAAGTTTTTCCTCAATGGTCTGTTTCGACATGATCAGAAGCTCTTCCTGGACTTTGTTAATGATGTTAAAGATTATCTTAGCAACATGAAGGAGTATCAAGTAGATAATGATGACGTGTTTAAGAAGTTGGATGAACACATACACAGATACTTTGCTCACCCTTTACCCCCTCCACATGGACCCAGGTCGGTTTACATAAACCCATGTTATTATAATAGTTTCTAACAGTTGTAGAGCAAAGAAAGCATTTTTAACATTTGAGGAGTGAGTGTCTTGTAATGTTGCTATTTCTAAGAGAAATGTTTTAAGGGTATAATTTGCAGATGAAAGTTTAATATAGCATCACTTTGATTTGAGCGAATGATTTAAAAAAGAAGGCTATATAATTCTTCATCTAGCCAGTTTTGATTTTTCAGTTTCAGTTTTATATGAAACTATCATTACCTTAGGGAAATTACTTTATTTAATCTTTTATTTGGTTAGTTTAAGAGGCTAGAAAGTGAACAACAGAAATTTTACTCTAAAGTCAGAAGAGCTCACAGTTCTAATGGCCCACCCATTTTCATTTTTCCACTCCATGTACCAATTTATTATACCTAACACTTTAATGGGATTATTATTATTGCTAAGGAAGGGTAGTGGCTTGATGAAGCAAACTCAGCAATCTAGACATTCAGTGTATTCATAACATTTTATCTATTGACCCTGTTTTATTCTGTAACATGAAACTCCCCTAATGTTCAAATGTTAATTTCACTTTTTATCTTTAAGAGCCCTATATTACTAAACTTTTATGAATAAATGTAATGTGTCTATAAAATAATGAGACTGATTTCTGTTGTCTAGTGCAATAATCAGCAAATGTTGAGAGGTTGCTTTGAGGAAATGTAACTATGTTAAGTGAAACTATGGATGTATGTGGTGGCCTTAGGCTATGTGAAGATACTTGAAAGGTTTGGTGAGTGGACTGGTCTTTCAGTACTTTTGATTTAAAAGGAGGAGGCATTCCACTCAAGTAAGTCAACTGCAAAGATTTGGAGATAGGAAGACAAAACTAACTTCAAGGAAGAAAAGATGAGGGATCAGATTAGAAGTGTTTGTTTTGTAAGACAAATACGAATAGAACTTTGTAGTAAGCAAAGTTATATTGCCTTTCAGATTATTAGCAACAGTTTGGAGGATTGATTGGGAAGATGTTAGACTAGAATCTGATCGTCACTATAACATAGACATGAGCTAATGAACATTGAACAAACAGAAGTAGAAAGACAGACTAGGTAAACTTGTTTCTAGAAGTGTCTTCTAGATTTCTGGAATGTGTGTTGGACAGTGGTATCATTCAGATTAGAATACTAGAAGTTGAAGGTCAAAGGAACTAGAAATGAGAATTTTTGGGAGGTACTCACTGACATTCATCTGGAGAGGCTTCACTGGCAATTACTTACATGGCTAGACCTGCCAAGTCAGATTTGCCAACCCTGGGGAATAGGGCTGCTAGAACTGTAGAAGATGCTGAGATGGACAAGACAGCAGAAAGACATCTGGAAAACATTCAAGTTGTGGGTCACATGTTTTCGGGACAAGACCTTTTTGGTAAAATGTTTCTTGGCTTGGGAATTGGGAGGCCATGGCTGGCTTGTAGACTGTGACTTCTGATGGAAACCTGATCCTGGAGGGTGAGGAAACTTGTGCTGTGAGGGAGGCAGAGCTAGAGACTTAGTTTTGCTTTGCCTTTAAGAGGTGTGTAGAGTTGTATGCACCCTGAGGGGTGTGAGCTATGTGGGGTGGAACTGGCTTTTATGGAAAGGAGGAAGAATAATAGAAACATCTCATTATTTTATTGTCACATTTCTGTTCCTTGGTCATTTGTGCAGTATTTCCCCTTCTTGCTAATAGTTATGTTTTTCTATTTTTGGTATGGTTATGTTAGAATTATAAATCGTATTAACATCTTTCTGCAGAGTGCTCAGATGAGTAGATTAGTGGAGAAAAACATGAAAACTGTTTTAAATTAAATACATAGAACTCTAACATAGATGAAAAAATGTGTTTACTACTTTCAGTCGACCTGATAAAAAGCAACGTATGGTAAATATTGAAAACTCCAGGCATCGAAAACAGGAGCAGAAGCACCTGCAGCCACAGCCTTATAAAAGGGAAGGTAAATGGCATAAGTATGGGCGCACTCACGGAAGACACATGGCAAACCTTGAAATAGAATTGGGGCACTTACCTTTTGACCCTAAATACTGATTCCCTGGTTAATATTACATTAGGAAACTTAAGAGACATACGGATGCTTTCTACAGTTGTTTGGTGTTGAAACTTAACATGAAATTATCAACGTGTTTTTTCCTTCCATTTTCAAAAGATCAGTTTGATGGCTTCATATTATTACTCAGAAGCATCAGGCAAAAGCTTACTAACCTGCATTTTCCTGTAATTTAGCTTTGTTGAAATTTGGGGGGAGGGTACTGGAAAAAAGTAGTTTTATTATGGAAGCCAGGCATGCAACAGATTTTGTGCATGAAGTAAGACTTCCTCTCAGTCTTCTGAGCTTAACAAGTCCAATTCATACATGACGACGTGTAATTAACACTATGTTTGATTTGCAGTAGAGCTTGAAAAAAGTATGTTTTGCTGGGACTTCATCTCTAACATTTTATACTCTTACATTTCTTGTCTTTTTGTGGGTTCAAGAGCCCGTTGACTTGTGAAGAGTATGCTGTCCTCTTACGAGCTTGCTGGTTTGTTCTCTTGTGAAATTTCTTGCACATCTGAATATTGTGGAAGAAACAATAAAACCTACACCATGAGGAAAACTAAAGGTCTTTATTTAAATTCTGGCATTGTATTTTTTTTAACTTTGTGGTATTTTATACAATTCCTCAGTAATGATATTTGGGCTGCTCATAATAGTTTATTGCAAGGAATGAGTCCAACTTTGGCATTGACTGAAGTGTTGTCGGAATGTCTCCATCCAGTGATGTCAGACACCATCTCTAGAAATTCTGAACAGTTAAGTTTCAGCTTTCTTTGAGTTTCCCATTTGCCTTTTGTTCATAGACATATATGTGAGTTCCAGTTCGACCTTCTGGCAAGTGAGTGTGGAAGAAAATAGCAGTCCTCTCATAATTTCTTGCAGCTAGGAAAACACTTATTTCCTAGAAGTAATAAATGTTACTGTAAGTAAAGGATACATTTTGCTGAGTAATGTTTCAGAAAATTTTAGGATGGCCTATTCTAGGACTGGGGATGTGGCTCAAGTGGTTAGGAGTATCTGTCTAGCAATCACAAAATCCCAGTACCACCAATAAAAAGCAAAGCACCAAAATCCCCAGCCAGTTCTTGAGTGCTACTTTGAAACTTTTCTCTCTATTCAGGATTTCCTTAATAAAAAATTAGCTTTTGGGCTTGCACTAGTGGCTCACACTTGTAGTTCTAGCTGTAGCTGTTCAGGAAGCTGAGAGCTGAAGATGGTAGTTGGAAGCCAGCCTGGGCAGGGAAAATCCATGAGACTCTATCTACCACCAGAAAGCCAGAAGTGAAGCTGTGGCACAAATGGTAGGGCATTAGCCTTGAACATAAAAGGTCAGGGACATGGCTTAGGTCCCGAGTTCAAGCTCTAGGACTGGAAAAACAAATAACTTTTGGATGGTAATCAGTGTACCTTGACAAGTACAAAACTGGAGCTAATTTTGAGTAGAGAAAAGACTAATTGATTACAGGCATTAAAAGGGGCCACAAAACAGGCTATATTTTTCATTGACTTCAGTCTTTGCTAATCCTAAAGTGAAATACAGTAAGTGAATTTTCTTCTTCCATATTACTCACCTCCTCCAAAGCACTAAAGATGATCATGTGAGTAGGTAGCGATGCATTTTCAGGAAATTCCTTATGTAACCACTTCAAGGGGTTTTGGTAAAACACATCTGCTTCATCAAGATACTGACTTTTTCCACTCAAGTCTGGAGGACACTGGAGAAATCGCATTGGAAGTGGACAGTGAACATGGCTAGGAGAAGAATCAGTTACCGTAATAGTTAGAAGTAAAAAAGTAGTGGATTCCTCATGTTACTTTTTAAGATATATACTTAGAAAAATGGGAGATGTGAAAGCATAAACTGCATTGCAGTTAAGGGGAAGAGGCAGCAAGCCTTTAGTGTGTCTTACCAGAGATGGAGACTTCAGTTCTCCCATGCAACAACAAACCTACACACCCAAACCGAGTATGGAGCGCTATTTCCAGAGCTTCAGGACTACATACTCTAACATTAATGCATTGTTTCAGAAGTCTAAGTGTGCTATAAGACCAGGTAAGTTAACTTGTTTTAGAGCAGTTCTCTAAAGGGTTACTTGGCAAGAGACAAAAACTACAAGTGGAAAGGATTCTTGTTCTTTTCCCTTCCTCCCCTAGAAAGGAATTCATCATAGCTTGAATGACTAGATCATCCTCCTGCCTCAAGGTCCTGAGTGCTAGACTATAGGCACCAGATCCATAATGAGTTTTAAATTACCATTGATCAACTGATTAAGATCTGGGATTTTTAGAGAGAGGGAGTGGGAATTAAATCTAGGACCTCTATCACTGGACTATATCCCTCAGCTAAGTTTGAATTTGTTTTCTTTTTTTGGGGGGAGGGAGAAGGGGGAGTGGTCCAGTCGTGGGGCCTGAACTCTGGGCCTGGGTGCTGTCCCTCAGCTCTTCAGCTCAGGCTAGCACAGTACTACTTGAGCCACAGCGCCACTTTGGGCTTTTTTTTTTCTGCTTATATGGTGCTGAGGAATCGAACCCAGGGCCTCATGCATACAAGGCAAGCGCAGTACCACCGAGCCACCTTCCTAGCCCCCACTCTACCACTTTGTAAAATGAGGAATTGAACCCAGGGTTTCATGCATACTAGGCAAGCACTCTACCACTAAGCCACATTCCCAGCCCTCCAACATGGCAGCACCACCTATGAGGGGCCTGTAAAACAACTTTTATTACCTGTAATAAGGAGTAGAGTGGCATGGCATCAGTATAAGTATTGAGGCCGAAGATTTATTGGGACTGCGGTGACAGACTTTTTGAATATGACTCATGACATCAAGAGTGCCTCGTTGATGAACTAAACCAGTATAGAATGCAAGAAGCGTATTTGATAAAAACAGGAAACTGAGGGCTGCTTTCTTCCATGATTTCAGGTGGGCTAATGAGTATCCTATATGGAGACAGGCACATAGAACTGTTAACACTGGCAGTCTTATTTTTTATTTCTAAATATATTTGTAAGGGAACAGCATAAGCTGTGCTACTGTCATTGATGATTAAGAAACAAGCAGTCAATTCCTTTGGCCTGTACCTGTCCTTTTAATTGTGATCATTTTTATCTAGTAAAAGAGAGCTGGAAAGAAAATCATATTGCTAGACTCACAATAGAAGCCTAAGGGAGTGGTGGTGAATGCGTATTTCAAAAATGTAATTGAGATGCTAGATTCTGCTATCTTGTGCATGCACGATAGACATATTTTTCTAAGTTTTGGACATTAAGTCCAGTGACTACATGGCAACAACTCATGATTTCCTCCTCACCAAGACAGTGAAGAGGATGGGAAAGTGAGCCTCCACAGTGCTAATCACATCGAATTTACTGACTGGTAACTAACCAGAAAAACCAATGCTAAGGAAACCTTACTACCTTCTCTACTATCTCCCACTATCTGTGTACTTTTAGTGTTTCCATGATGGAAAGGGTAGTTTGGTTTTAGAATGGGACACTAAAACTCAAGATTGTGAGGCCTCTCAACCAAAATAGTCTTAAAAGACTCATATATTAAATGAAAAAGAAGTACTACAATTAATAACTAATTAAAAAGCAATTTTCACACAGCTTGGCTGAAAACAAATTAGTTCAAAAGTACTGTTTTAACTTTCTATAGATTGTTTATATTAAATAAAAGATACTTACCACAGAACACCATACAAAATGGTAAAACTGAGTAGATGAACCTGAATTCTTTGTGACCTAACATGCTATAATAAAAGATAAAAGAAAACATGGTTTCAAATGTCACATGACTGATAATTTAAATGAAGTGCAACATGATCTGTTTTTTTAAGTATTGAACACTGAATTTTTTCAAGCATCAGTCATTTTTGTTAGGAAATTTCATTCATAAAGAGATGTTTATTAACCAAGTAGTAATCAAATTTGGAATGTATATACATATTAGAATACTGTATCATTGCTCCTTTGATGCTTTTTCTCTTTTTTTCCTTTTGGTGGCAGAATAGGGCCTCAAACTAAGGGCCTGGATGCTGTCCCTGAACTGCTTTTTTGCTCAATGCTAGTGCTCTACCATCCTGCCTAGACTAACTGAACCACATCCTCAGATCTAGGATTACAGACATGATCCACTGATGCCCAGCTAATGCTTAAGGTTTTGGTAGTTTCTTGTCTACTTAAGGTGAATGAAATTTGTTCACCTTTTAAGAAATGGAGTATAGCCCTAGTCAAGCAAGTGCTGTATGTGAATTACTTTTACCTGACCATGTGCACAGTTACTACTTCTTTGGTCTTCTAAAATAATCCCCACTAAATCAAATCCTCACAATCAATACTTCTGTTAATTTAACTTCTTAGTAAAAAAACTACTTGAACACATAGACTCTTACCTATAAACTAACAGTGTCCATAGCACAGTCACCATGAGTATGTGGTACCTCTTTGGGGCTAGAAAGCAGCCATGGATAAAGAAGGGTAAGTGCGTACCCAGGACAGCTGGAAATCCTTGACTGAAGTACCAGTGCCACGGATGAGAGCCATAAAATGTTCCCAAATTCTGCAGCACGTTAAATTTCAAGAAATTAAACTGCACCAGAGTCCACTGGCAGAGTTGAAGGGAAAAGAAACAGATGTGTTAGTATTAAGTGTTAATCTTTGGTATGAGGAAATATGATAAACAGATTACATTAATAGTTTTGATTAACTATTAAGTCATTTTTTGTGGTACTGGGGACTCAATTGCAATCATCCTTAATGACATTTTCTTTTCTAATATTGATGCGTTCTTTGTTAACTTGTAAAACACTGGGTTTCAGATTTATAAGGAGTCTCTAACATTATTAAATGTTTATACATATTTTGGCAAAGTTTTATATCCAGTAAGAGATAAGCTGTGAAAACTTAGTAGAGGATATGTGTGGTATCTATACTAATAATTTTACTCTTAGTGTGCAATGTTTCATAATGTTACTTGGTTAAAACTGTAAACATTAAAACTTGTATATAGAGCTGGGAAGATGGCTCAGTGGTAGAGTGTTTGCCTTGCATGCCTGAGGTCCTGGGTTCGATTCCTCAGCACCACATAAGCAGAAAAAGTTGGAAGTGGTGGTGCTGCTCAAGTGGTAGAGTGCTAGCCTTGAGCTGAAGAGCTGAGGGAAAGCACCCAGGCTCAGAGTTCAGGCCCCATGACCAACAAAAACCAAAAAACA